AATCAAGTGGACGGTTCGTGATGTGAATCAGTGTCTGGCACATTCGTTACTCGGTCGTCTTCACCGGTCGATCGAATTCAGTAGACTCACAAGAGAACCGTTGTGCTAGGATGACTACACTGAGTTGATCTCGATTACACACATGTGTGCATATTTAGCAGATTGACTGTGAGATGTTCACCTCCAGGATGACAGTGAAAACAATGATGTCATGAGCCTGACACAGACGACGATTGGTAGAGTTAGCTTGTTAGCGTGTATATTAGTCGTGATAGTGACATTGTTATTGATAGTTGTGATGTTGTTTGGTGATGAATGAAAGTAGCTGTGCAAATAGGTAGGAGACATTCTTGTAGTAGTGTATATGTGATTGTGAGAAATGTGGTTAAGCATGTTGTTAGTTGTGTGGGTTGTTGGACGAGTGATTCTAGTAGTGATGTATATAGAAGTTGGACGGTAGAGAATGAGACGGATGAGGATGGTGCAGTGTATGAACGTGAAATATAATAAGGTGAGTAGTATGGTGTTGTGTGTGTGAGAGATGGTGAAAAGGAGGCGGTCTTCACGCGCCAACCGGGCTGTCAGATGGACACCATTCACAGGCGCTATCCCGCTACCGCACCACGCGGGGACTTTTGCCTGCTGGGTTTCCCCCCTGGGCCGGTCCGCCCCTCCTTAGACGACCTGGACAACCCGCCCTCCGACAGCTCATCCATATCGGCGCCGTGCTTAGCGTGGACGCCCGATCAACATGAGCACCCATATGCCAGAACTCCCGGTCCCACGAAATCCCGCACCCTGGCCTCCAAGTAGCTAGATTACAGGCGCACGCCACCACGCCCAGCCGTCCACACACATTCAACACAATCATTTCATACTCATTGGACACCATACAGACAACATCATTTACAACTCTCACACAACCTCAATCAACAATGTCCATCACAATCAACAAAACACACTTCCAGATCGACTCACTGCAAGTGCATACGAGATTGAATTCACAATCCATTCAATCCTATCTCACATATGAATGCCAAATGATCACACAAACACACTTTAACAAGTTTTATACTAAGACATACACACAACACTACTCAGACAACAAATTAATTGTACAATGACTAGTCCATATGATGACATGACTTGTTGAAGAGGACACAGAACTGACATCACATTCATTGTTCCTCAATATCTGTCATTAATCAGTTGTTCGAATTCAAGGAATTATCACGAGGAATGATCGATTGTGAGCAGATGCTAAACACTCATGAATGTCATCTCGTTCTATTCTTTCCATCTCACCTACAACAGACAATCAATCGGCAACAAAATAGCTGATTCACTGAATCATCTCGTCAGTAAACTGTCTGTGCATATATATTCCGTGTAATCAAGTGGACGGTTCGTGATGTGAATCAGTGTCTGGCACATTCGTTACTCGGTCGTCTTCACCGGTCGATCGAATTCAGTAGACTCACAAGAGAACCGTTGTGCTAGGATGACTACACTGAGTTGATCTCGATTACACACATGTGTGCATATTTAGCAGATTGACTGTGAGATGTTCACCTCCAGGATGACAGTGAAAACAATGATGTCATGAGCCTGACACAGACGACGATTGGTAGAGTTAGCTTGTTAGCGTGTATATTAGTCGTGATAGTGACATTGTTATTGATAGTTGTGATGTTGTTTGGTGATGAATGAAAGTAGCTGTGCAAATAGGTAGGAGACATTCTTGTAGTAGTGTATATGTGATTGTGAGAAATGTGGTTAAGCATGTTGTTAGTTGTGTGGGTTGTTGGACGAGTGATTCTAGTAGTGATGTATATAGAAGTTGGACGGTAGAGAATGAGACGGATGAGGATGGTGCAGTGTATGAACGTGAAATATAATAAGGTGAGTAGTATGGTGTTGTGTGTGTGAGAGATGGTGAAAAGGAGGCGGTCTTCACGCGCCAACCGGGCTGTCAGATGGACACCATTCACAGGCGCTATCCCGCTACCGCACCACGCGGGGACTTTTGCCTGCTGGGTTTCCCCCCTGGGCCGGTCCGCCCCTCCTTAGACGACCTGGACAACCCGCCCTCCGACAGCTCATCCATATCGGCGCCGTGCTTAGCGTGGACGCCCGATCAACATGAGCACCCATATGCCAGAACTCCCGGTCCCACGAAATCCCGCACCCTGGCCTCCAAGTAGCTAGATTACAGGCGCACGCCACCACGCCCAGCCGTCCACACACATTCAACACAATCATTTCATACTCATTGGACACCATACAGACAACATCATTTACAACTCTCACACAACCTCAATCAACAATGTCCATCACAATCAACAAAACACACTTCCAGATCGACTCACTGCAAGTGCATACGAGATTGAATTCACAATCCATTCAATCCTATCTCACATATGAATGCCAAATGATCACACAAACACACTTTAACAAGTTTTATACTAAGACATACACACAACACTACTCAGACAACAAATTAATTGTACAATGACTAGTCCATATGATGACATGACTTGTTGAAGAGGACACAGAACTGACATCACATTCATTGTTCTTCAATATCTGTCATTAATCAGTTGTTCGAATTCAAGGAATTATCACGAGGAATGATCGATTGTGAGCAGATGCTAAACACTCATGAATGTCATCTCGTTCTATTCTTTCCATCTCACCTACAACAGACAATCAATCGGCAACAAAATAGCTGATTCACTGAATCATCTCGTCAGTAAACTGTCTGTGCATATATATTCCGTGTAATCAAGTGGACGGTTCGTGATGTGAATCAGTGTCTGGCACATTCGTTACTCGGTCGTCTTCACCGGTCGATCGAATTCAGTAGACTCACAAGAGAACCGTTGTGCTAGGATGACTACACTGAGTTGATCTCGATTACACACATGTGTGCATATTTAGCAGATTGACTGTGAGATGTTCACCTCCAGGATGACAGTGAAAACAATGATGTCATGAGCCTGACACAGACGACGATTGGTAGAGTTAGCTTGTTAGCGTGTATATTAGTCGTGATAGTGACATTGTTATTGATAGTTGTGATGTTGTTTGGTGATGAATGAAAGTAGCTGTGCAAATAGGTAGGAGACATTCTTGTAGTAGTGTATATGTGATTGTGAGAAATGTGGTTAAGCATGTTGTTAGTTGTGTGGGTTGTTGGACGAGTGATTCTAGTAGTGATGTATATAGAAGTTGGACGGTAGAGAATGAGACGGATGAGGATGGTGCAGTGTATGAACGTGAAATATAATAAGGTGAGTAGTATGGTGTTGTGTGTGTGAGAGATGGTGAAAAGGAGGCGGTCTTCACGCGCCAACCGGGCTGTCAGATGGACACCATTCACAGGCGCTATCCCGCTACCGCACCACGCGGGGACTTTTGCCTGCTGGGTTTCCCCCCTGGGCCGGTCCGCCCCTCCTTAGACGACCTGGACAACCCGCCCTCCGACAGCTCATCCATATCGGCGCCGTGCTTAGCGTGGACGCCCGATCAACATGAGCACCCATATGCCAGAACTCCCGGTCCCACGAAATCCCGCACCCTGGCCTCCAAGTAGCTAGATTACAGGCGCACGCCACCACGCCCAGCCGTCCACACACATTCAACACAATCATTTCATACTCATTGGACACCATACAGACAACATCATTTACAACTCTCACACAACCTCAATCAACAATGTCCATCACAATCAACAAAACACACTTCCAGATCGACTCACTGCAAGTGCATACGAGATTGAATTCACAATCCATTCAATCCTATCTCACATATGAATGCCAAATGATCACACAAACACACTTTAACAAGTTTTATACTAAGACATACACACAACACTACTCAGACAACAAATTAATTGTACAATGACTAGTCCATATGATGACATGACTTGTTGAAGAGGACACAGAACTGACATCACATTCATTGTTCTTCAATATCTGTCATTAATCAGTTGTTCGAATTCAAGGAATTATCACGAGGAATGATCGATTGTGAGCAGATGCTAAACACTCATGAATGTCATCTCGTCGTATTCTTTCTATCTCACCTACAACAGACAATCAATCGGCAACAAAATAGCTGATTCACTGAATCATCTCGTCAGTAAACTGTCTGTGCATATATATTCCGTGTAATCAAGTGGACGGTTCGTGATGTGAATCAGTGTCTGGCACATTCGTTACTCGGTCGTCTTCACCGGTCGATCGAATTCAGTAGACTCACAAGAGAACCGTTGTGCTAGGATGACTACACTGAGTTGATCTCGATTACACACATGTGTGCATATTTAGCAGATTGACTGTGAGATGTTCACCTCCAGGATGACAGTGAAAACAATGATGTCATGAGCCTGACACAGACGACGATTGGTAGAGTTAGCTTGTTAGCGTGTATATTAGTCGTGATAGTGACATTGTTATTGATAGTTGTGATGTTGTTTGGTGATGAATGAAAGTAGCTGTGCAAATAGGTAGGAGACATTCTTGTAGTAGTGTATATGTGATTGTGAGAAATGTGGTTAAGCATGTTGTTAGTTGTGTGGGTTGTTGGACGAGTGATTCTAGTAGTGATGTATATAGAAGTTGGACGGTAGAGAATGAGACGGATGAGGATGGTGCAGTGTATGAACGTGAAATATAATAAGGTGAGTAGTATGGTGTTGTGTGTGTGAGAGATGGTGAAAAGGAGGCGGTCTTCACGCGCCAACCGGGCTGTCAGATGGACACCATTCACAGGCGCTATCCCGCTACCGCACCACGCGGGGACTTTTGCCTGCTGGGTTTCCCCCCTGGGCCGGTCCGCCCCTCCTTAGACGACCTGGACAACCCGCCCTCCGACAGCTCATCCATATCGGCGCCGTGCTTAGCGTGGACGCCGGATCAAAATAAGCAGTCATATGCCACATATTTAATAGAATGGTTATGTTTTTGTGTAAGATTTTTTTATAAGGTTAAAAATTGGTTCTTTATATATTTATGTGTGATCAATCGTTTTTACTGTGTGTATGTAACACGTAAATTAGGACGATATATATTTTAATGATTTTTTCATGGTTTCAGAATGAACTAATCTATTGTATGTACAAGAATGATTTATTGAATAATAATAATAATAGTAATATGAAGAGAAACGGTAATAATGAAGGTACACACTTATCAAAATAATAATTATATAAATAAAACTGATAAAATCTGACACCCGGTAATCTACAGTAGAGTAAAACTTCGTGAATGTTAGGGGATAGTTTACAAAACTGCACTTATGAATCAGTTTGGTTTTGAATACGAAGCTTTTTGTTTGTGCGGAAAAGGACAATGTTGACAGTTTTGATGGGAGGTTTTGTAGGAGATAATGGGATTTCAATTTTATCTTCTTCGTCATTTTCTTCCTCATCTTCTTCATCAACTTCCTCAGCGATCTCTTCTTCTTCGTCATCATCTATTTTTGATACAGACAAACGCATATACGAAAGATGTAGTATAAATAACCAACATATATTAACAATTAATATGATACTAACATACTACGTAGTTACGGTAGACAATGTTAAGAGCACTATATCATTGATTTAAATATAGGTGATAATTTTGAAGTAATTAAACCAGAACTTACCAGGATGGGCGACGCGTACGTGACTTTGCAAAGTCAATTTCGACGTAAACGTTCTGTCACACTCAGCGCACTTAATTAATTTAGCTACAAATAAGATGATACGTAGTAAAAGTTTGTGAACAATAATACTTTCTAATACTGACTCGATCTCTAATAATCATTAAAAGTAATACCGTGATAAAAACTTAGATTACAAAATCTTAAAAAATCTAGTGACTCTATTAATGAAGTAAACAATACGTTCATAGTTGGGTGCTGGTCCTTTAAAACTTAATACCACAACAGGATTGGAGTCAATTATCGCTTTATTTGTGAAAAATGGATATAAATTCCCCAACGTTGTGCGTAAAAAAGCGCAATAGAGAAATTTGCGTTTATCGACAAAGATATAATTATCTCGGTATACTACGAGATATATAGTCTAATAATTAAATCACAAACGGTATCCGTTGGATGTTAAGAAAACGTGTATTTACTTTTAACCTTCTGATATTCGATTGGTAAAAATGAATAATGTACCTATAGAATTGATGAATTATGACTTAAGTGTATGTGGATGGATATTCGCAGTGTACTTACCAGCGTGTACATGTTTGTAATGTATCGCTACATCAGATCTGGAAGCGAAAGATTTGTTACAACTAGCGCATTTGAATATCAGCCGACCTGAAAATGAATAATTAATAATAAAAAGTAAGTTTAAAAACAAGGTCAGTCGAAATCAATGACAATACACTTTGATAACTATTGACTAACAGCAAATTCTAGAGATTAACTAAAGAAAAATTTACTTAATTAGTGACGTAGATTAATTTGATTTTCATCGACATTTTTGTTATCAAAATTGGTTTATGAAAGGATGTAAAGTGAATCCTATCATTACAGTATAGTCAGAAAATGCAACAAAAACTCAGACACACATCTTTGTCTTTTTTTAAGTAAGGTTATTTAACCTTAAATGAATACACAATAAAAAAAGATCCAAATTAATAATCAGGCTTACCTAAAGGAGGTCTCAATTTATTCGTTTTTCGTGGAACCGGGGAATTATACTGTTGTGGTGAGATTTTCATACCTAGACAAAAACACAATGAATAAGATCCACATAAGATTAAAATAAAAGAAGACCTTAAAAACTACAAATCTGTAAATCTTGAAATATATCACATGAAATCAAATACCGTTATGTTCACTTTGTCGACAAAACATAAATAAGCTAAATGGGATGTGGAACATTGACAAGTGTTATTCCACCATCTCGTAAAATGACAGCTTTACATTTGCTTGATCAGAGAAAACACTTAGATGATTGTTAATTATGCAGCAAACTGATATAGTAGTTAATAAGAATATACATTAGAACTATTTGCAAACATTTTAGTTAAAAATAACGTGAATTGAGACACGGTTTGATGATGCGAGTTTGCGATTTTTAACTACTTACTGAAGGTTTTATACGGACTAAATTCAGTTATTTGGAATGCAAATACATGACCACTGAGTCGTTATTAATGAAACGAACTTCAATTCGTAGCGAGAAACAGTACGATAAATGAGCTAATAGGTAAAACGATCTAGGCTAGCAAAAGTCTATACTGGTGAGTTGCTTACAATATCCTACAAACATTTGCATATTATAGCATTGGAATGTAGAAGAATATAAAGAGGATGAATCTCTTACAAAAATTTGTTCACTACATGTGAATTGTCGCAGAGTAAAACGTCCCTGGGTTTATTGCATCTGAAGTTGCCAGTAAACGAGTTTGTATTATTCGATATGCGAGTTAAAAATGTAAGAGCCAACAATTACTAAAGTGTGTATGTGTTGACATATATCTGCTGTTTATACCAAAGATTTCGAAAACTAACCTTTGTGTCGAGTTTCTTGATGTCTTCGGAAAATGCTTCCAGACAGGAAGAAATCGCCACATTGTTCGCATTTGACCATTCTCTCTAAAATAGAAAGCCGGATGAACAAACGAAAAATACACCTGAAGATTGAGCTAATCAATGAAAAATGATAACTCATAATGACAAACTTAGTTTACGGAAACTGAAATACATAAATACTTCAAATGACGTTGTTTAGGAAATCGGAAATGAGGTCTGGGGACAACCTGTCTTTAGACAGATTAAAATTTTTGACACGGGAATTTAAGTTGACGAATGAGAGTATTAGAGTACCGAAAATAGAAACGTTAAGGCATTCGTTTAGTTCGCGTGCATATTATTATGGGTGAAACAGATTTACATTTGTATATAGGTAAAGCAGCAGTAAAGAGGAAATAATCCAATCCTTCACAGAAAATTTTAACTGTATGTGGTAAGATTAAATTAAGAACCAGTGAATTTAGCAAATCAAGTAAGCATAAACAGCTGACACATTATAAAACCAATCAGATTTAACAATTGACAGAAAGAAAAATATTTAATATTGTATTCTGTAGTCGGAAAAGCTATTGATAAAAATACAATCACCGGAACGGATATGCGAAAATATTAAAACAAAAATATAACGGTAAAAAAATATAACTTACTCCCATGAACCTGTTGTACATGAGCGTGGAGATAGACTCGTAATGCAAATGTCCTGGAGCATACATCGCACTGAAATGACTGAACTGTAAAATAAAACAGGAGATAATTTTAATTAGCATCCCATTACAAATAAAGGGTCATGACATTCTCGCAAATATCTGATCATATATAACGAAAAGGAGGAATACATAAAACAAATAATCAGAAAAATCAAATTACATATGACTAAAAGCTACAGACTTCAGTATTAACATCTGAGGAAGTTTAGTGATTAAAGAATGTCTATGAAAGCAGTCAACAATACTCATAATACGGTGATTACAGTCAACTTTAATAGTGACGAGGAACAAACAGCACTGTAAATGTTTCTAACTATTGGAGTATCATGAATAAGACTTTTGTTATTAGCTTCTGTTACTCAAACTATTGGAAGTGCTTCCAGAAACACCAATTACCATGAACAATGAATAGAAACCTGTGTCAACACAAACTAGAAGCCGAAAAAGAGTACTGATAGGGTAATAAATTAGAGATTATTGAAGTTTCAAATAGTAGTTATCCGAAGTGGTGTGACATTGATTACTTATGCCATTAAATCTGAATACTATTTCCAAACCTCCATGTTTATTTATTTAGTGTTCTAATTTATACTGCTTATTAATAAGAAGTAGTCTGGTTCGTAACTAAGCATTCCTAAGGTCACCTAGACGACATTATTTTATAATACAGGGCTATTTGCTTTATCTGTTTGTACGCTCAATTCAGTGGGTAAATTTTATTTTCTACTTGTCATAAATCACTTATTTAGCCCTTTATCCACCTTCATTACATACGTTACTCTTAAAAAACTATTTATCTTGAACTAGTGGCTATAAAATAACCATAATTTTGTGCCTATTAGGAAGGTTTAACAAAAAGGTTTGTATGCGTCTAATATCAATGAATCCGTTACTATATACCATTGATTTTTTTGTTGTTTGAAAGCTTAACTGCTGTTTTTGGAAATATTTGGGTTATCTGCTATGGACAAAAACAGTTTGAAACAGGAAATAAGAAATCGAGGGTATAAAGTACGGTTACCACCTTGACACCAAATATATGAAACTATACTCACCATCATGGACAAGATGAATGTGATACCATAAACCGGATCTTGAGGTGAAGGAACGATCACAAGAAGGACAGTCGAATAATCTTCCTATATAACAAAAAATAACAGAAACATAAAAAACAAATAATAACTGATTGTAAACAATTATCATTGAGTACAAGATCATTGGAGTTTGTTTATTAAATTATGGTACTGATAGCTAACTAGTGAAGTACAACATTTAAGATCAAATTTACGAAAAGCTCTCGATCGCGCTAAAAAAAGCATTTACGGATAAGGTTACCATTATTAAGTGAATTGAAGGATCAAGTAGGGAGACAGAAATATGCAAAAGGGCAAATTGAGAATATCTTTGATATTCCGCTAAGGTGATCATCATAAGTGTTAGTTATATTGATAACTAACCAATCAAATCATCACTTAATCGCCCACCAAGCCACTCTGGTCTGATGTGTCTGTAGACTATCCCTGTTGCATGTGACCTGCCAATTGAAGGGCGTTATTATCCTATTATAGTAGAGTGACTTATAATTTTTATTCATTTCGATAAGACACGCAATACTGGTCAAAACAGATAAAGTTTAAAGCCAAGTTGTGCTTGTTCTGATTATAGCTTCCACATACACTAGGTCGCCAGTGTCGCATTTACAGTTCTGGTAGAGTATCTGTAGAAATTAAATCCTACAGTAAGATATCAGTCAGTCTCTCAAACTCCACTTGTAGGTCATGTAGGGTTAGTGTCGATCTGAAGACCGAGCAAAGGAGGGTTGGGTACGATGTCAGTAATCCCATCCCCCAAAAGCGACCTCGTTAAAAAAACACTAACCAGAATAAACAACTTAAACCATGCCCTCCGAGGGGCGGATTTTCTTTCAAAAGAACTATGATACATGGTGAAATCCGAGATTCTTAGAAGTCACGAGGCCGATGCTCCTTCAAACAACCATTAATATACGTACACGGGATTTCTGAACAATATAGGCGATCAGGAGGACCAATCGAATAGCGACGGAAGCGAGGAGATATAATTTACAGGTGTGCCGAATAAGTGAAACCAATTGGACCTAAGCTGGATAGAAAACGATACATTTAGGAGATCCGGAATATATGTGAAAAAACCATGGCTGGAGGCCACATCATCTAAGAGGGGTAGTTGGTACACGATAGCCGAACTTGCTAAACGATTGTTTTCGCATATTAAACAAATAGAAAAGTGGAGATGGAATTTCTCCACTACTGTTGTACGGGAATGTAGATATACTGGTTTATTCATATTTGGTAAAACTGAGACTTTGTCGAACTATTTCAACAAGGTAACCTCTGGGGGTTTTATAACAGCATTTCCCATAACCACACTACTGAGATGCCAGCTATAGGACCAGTAGGCGTGACTAAATGAGCTGTTCCTCACTTACTCACTAACCTCAGACTTAGTAAGACACCTGGTCCTGATAAGTACACCCATGAATTCAGTCCTACCTCGCGGACATTACTTCAGAACAGCTCACGATGATTTAACATGTCCCTCCACCAAACTCATCTTTCGTCGGATCGGAAGAGTGTTATAGTTAGTCTTGTATTTAAGTGTGGAAGGAGACAGAACCTGTCTCACTACCGACCTGTCAGTTTAACCAGCGTAGTAGTCAAGTTATTTGAAAAAGCAGTTTCACCCCAGTTTCTAAGACACGTAGATACACATAACTAGTCAACTCTTGAGCTACACTAGTTTCCGAATGAATGTTCAAACTTAAATAACTTATTAACTGCGGAGAGGATTAAAAAGTAACGCAGAATAATGGGCTGTCTGCTGATGTGGTGTTCACCACTTATTTGCGCAAGGGTCTGATTGTTTGCCCGCGAAATGTATCTGTCGACTCATTTAAACAAATTCCGGTAAACGTTATCCTGATGTGTTTTTGTCCTACAACCTCAAACTATCATTAAGTTTGAGAGTTTCCTTTAAAAATGAATACCAGAGTCAGGATGTAGCATTCCAAAAGAGCTTTTTCTCATACATCATTATTACTAGCAGTAATCCTACAATGTGCTGTACTGTGCGTAATCTTTATGCTCTGCACTATGTTCCCCCACGAATGTATACACAAAGCTACATGAATCCCACCGGAAAACAATACAGCCCTCATTCGACATACTGACAAACTCAAATAATTCAAGATAGCTCTCAAAAACGGATTCAAAGCACTTCAAGATCTACTCAAGGAACAGGAAAGCATTATGGGAAACAACTGGAAAGGGATCAAAGAAGCTCTAACTTCAACATGTTAGATGCTGAACAACAAGAAAGGAAGAACAAGTGCTACTGACAGACTGAAGAGAAGGACAAGGAAAAGAGATCTTTGTAAGTGTGACAAATACAATGGCATCACACTACTATCAGTAACAGGAGTACTCAATATATTGTTGTTGAACAGGATAGAAGATTCAGTAGATACCCAACTTCGAGATCAACAGACCGGATTTCGTAAGGATCGGCTGTGCACAGATCAAGTCGCGACACCACATATTATTATTGAGCAGTCACTTCAATTGAATTCGTCACCACACATCAACTTCCTTGACTATAAAGTGTTAAACAGTGTGGATAGCAGAACCTTATGGAATCGTCTTCGACACTATGGAGTACCAGGGAAAATCGTCGACATCATACAAGATTCATACAACTGACTACATTGCAAAGTGGTGCATCAAGAACAGATGACAGATGCATTCCAAGTGAGGACCAAAGTTAGACAACATCTTCAATACGAACGTCAAGACAGTTCTACTTTACAGATCTGAGACTTCTAGAACTACAGTAACCATCATCAAAAAAGTACAGGTATTTATAAACAAATGTCTACACAAGATACTCAATGTCTGTTGACCGGATATCATCAGCAACAACCTACTGTGGGAGAGAACAAAACAGCTTCCAGATGAAGAGGAAAATAAATATTGGAAGTGGATAGGATGTACATTGAATTAATCATCAAATTGCACCATGAAGCAAGAGCTAACTTGGAATCCTAAAGGGATAATGAAAAATAGAAAGACCAAAGAACACATTGCGCCGACAATCGGAAGCAGACATCAAAAGAATGAATAGCAACTGAAAAGAATTTTCCAGGACAAAGTTCGATGAAGAATACTGGTGGGCCTATGTTCCAACACAAGAGCTAACTGGCGTAAGTAAGTAAGATCATCATAGTTTCTCCCCAACAAACGCTACCTATACGTCAAAAGATAGACACTTTCATCTTATGTTATCTATATCTCAAGCAAACACAACGATAGGCATACGCTAAAGGAACGATTACTATAGCTTATGAAAGCCTTATAGTGTTACAGAATACAATCAAACCAATTTCTAAGAACTTATATACATTTAAATTAACGTCTAACTGTAGAATATATGAAGAAAATGTAACAGCTAAATACAAGTTTGGAAATTGAAAAAATATGTAGAAAGAATATGGTTATCTGATAAGGTTCTATTGAAATTTCCAAAGGAATGAACAATGCCTTAATTCCTGGAAAAATTATTTGTTTGTTCACAGGGATTATCTGAAGCAGAGCAATGTGAACAAACGTAAAATATTCATAACATGATTACTAATTTGAAAATATTATCTTTTCACACAACTATCATATTGTAACCAAAATAATAGTGTTTACCTGAAATTTTCTTAAAAAGTAATTTAAAACAACAATGAAAAACACAATGACCATATACTTGCCTCCATGTATACTTTTTTCATGTTTCTTTAGATTACCCAATGAGGCAAACGTTGTGCCACATACTTCACATTTAGCTAATCTTTCTAGAAAAAATTAGAACGAATAAATATAGAGATGAGTAATTAAGGTGACAGAAACACTGAATAAAAAGAACGTGGTCAGAAAAATTAATAAGTTTTCAGAATTGGAAGTATGAGACGACATATAATTCAGTGTTTGCAGGAAGCTCAACAGAAATGTATATCTACCATTACTGTCTGTGGAACACAATGCACAAATAGCTAAACTAAAAGCAACTGTTACGCAATAGTATTGATATTTTTGTAGTTTCTTACCATAAGTATAAAACCTTTAACACTATACAACCAGTTCTTTAATTATATAAAAATGTCATCACAGATGAAATCATAGGTTAACAAATAAATTTAGAAAATCATTCCTCATTTATCATAATAGTAATAATTGACTTAACAAAGAAATTAATGTTTTCAGTTTTGAGTCACATTTATTATGATGGCTAGTAATACTATCCGGTTTCCTAGACCGAAGTAGGTGAAGTGAGGGTTGAATCTACCGAGTACTTTAAGAACCATCACTAGGTACCGAATGTATTATCAAGAAAAATGATGGCTTATGTGATCAGTCCACATGAAACTCCAGAAATAATAGAAGCTAAAATGTGGAAATGGTTCTAATAATAAATTATCTCTTTTTAACGAATTTATTATCAAGCTGTAAAATCGTATATATATGAAAATTTTGTTTTTGTACAGCTTGATAATAAATTCGTTGAAAAGAGATCCCTTCGCTGAACTTCGTGTTTAAATGGGAATTATCTGTCAATAAATTATGTCTATGTAGCATGTAATCTACATTATAAGCTGTGCCCGATTACGCTTCTAAATAGGATCTGTTGCTCTACGAGTTTAAGGACATGGTTGAAAAAACCAGTGCGTATGTGTAAAAATTTGGCAGTGACCATAATAAAACAGAATTCGAATAAAGCCATTACAACAACTAAGGCAGAATAATATGGACGCATCCTATTTTGTGGTCTCTTCAACTGCTTACAACTGTATTTGTGTAATATAATATTTAGTAGTAGACATTAGTGACTGAAAACTTAAAATGACAACAACTATCAATATTATGTTCATATCTACATGAATGAGCGAATGTAAGTTCAGTTGAAGAAAAATATCGAAACTCTAGAGAGGGTGAAGCAGCAATTATCTAGAATCCGAAAATTGATAGTAACCCCGTCGTCAATTAGATATAGAGCTATTACCGTAGGCTATGGCATCTAATCTCAGATTCTTTGGCACGTGCTCAAAAATACGGACATGCACTGTTCCCTCTGTCCTTCCTATGTATTCGCTGTGGGACATGCGTGTGGATTTATGAATACGATTAGATGTACCAGGGAAAGAGGACTTGTCTATTTTCGTTTCGCCTCATAGCTTATTAAGCAACCCATCAACAATTTTCGGATTCTACATAATTACTGCTTCACCCTCTCTAGAGTTTCGATATTTTTCTTCAACTGAACTTACATTCGCTCATTCATGTAGATATGAACATAATATTGATAGTTGTTGTCATTTTAAGTTTTCAGTCACTAATGTCTACTACTAAATATTATATTACACAAATACAGTTGTAAGCAGTTGAAGAGACCACAAAATAGGATGCGTCCATATTATTCTGCCTTAGTTGTTGTAATGGCTTTATTCAAACCCATAACGGGAAACACTGTACAACATGAAAAGCAAAACGAGAAGCACCAACATAAATCCAAGAATTATAACCAGGTTATATAACTTCTGCTTTTAATATCTTTAGACACGTTAAACACGTTTAGAATATCAAAACTAAAATATTTGAAACTAGTTGACAAAATAATTGAACTGACTGTGTAATTGCAAATTAATTTCACCAGAACACCAAGTGCAAATTCTATCCCTCATGTATTTTTAATGATTGGTATTAGTTGTCATGGTATATAGTAAAAATAAGCTTAGTAACACTATTACACTACGATTTATTTAGGTGAGAAGTGATGTAATGATGACTGTGTACTGTTTATCACTTAATTGTTTGATTATTTTTATTATTTATTTTTATTTGAACACATAAATATTGGTACAAGAGGGCACCAAATGCGTATGTGCCACACAGACCTCATTTGATGTGTGAGGACTGTGATACTGCCCGGGTGCCTAAACCGAAGCAGGTGGTTTTCTTAGGGGGTCACACCCCGAGCATTCGACCTAAAGGTCTAACCCACAAGGCAGTGGAGCATCGTGAGGAGATGCAGTCCCATGGTAGCCGGTGACCAACATTCGGTTCATACGCCATTTGTTCCTTCCGGATACTGGAGCCCATGTGCACCATTGGTTTGGGATCCGGTTAAAGAGCCGGATATTCGCTTTTCGTCCTCTCATTTTCGTAAACAACACCCCTGCCACGAGAAGGCAGTGAGTAGGACTTCCCTGGCAGAGGCTGTATACGCGTGACCGTGTGAGAGCATTTCGAGAGGGAGGGCGGGTCCACCCCACTCTCGGCAATGCCAGGGCACTTAATTATTTGACATTAGGAAAAGAGGAAAATATATAGATAAACAGATGTATAAGCATGATCATAGAATTCAATAAAATAATTTATTTTGTAAATGAAAAATTTACTTTCATGAACTTGTTGAATATGTGCAATAAGATATTGTTTCAATCTGAAGGTTCTTGAACACTGATCACATGGATAATTTTGTACTATGAAGAAAGAACAAAAGATATTTCCTTTTAAAACACTAAATAGTAAAGACTGATAAGTGAGTAAATGAAAAGCACACTACCTATAGTATTTTCAAAATAAATAAAATTCATAAATATAGTTTATACAACAGTCGGTCATAAATACAACAACAGAATAGATTTTCTATATTTAATGGTTGAATAATACACTGAATAAACTGAATGTCATAGAGTTTCACTTTAATATGAAAAACTGATTTTTTTAATCGAATAGAATAAATAAAGACGATTTTGACTGATAAATTGTGAATTTCGATAAAGTCCACTGATATTTTACCAATATATTTTATGGAAATTTCTAGCAACATGAATTAGTGCATTAAACCATATCTAACCAAGTCTATTGTAATCTCAGTTGTTTTATCCACAACATTAAGTAAGCTATTTTGAAAACGATAAATTTCCACAGAATCACTTCAAACATTCTATATAGATAGTTGGTCGTATAGTGCAAAAGAAAGGGAATGTGGTTTATGAGGATTCTGTTGGCTCAGAAGTTCGGGTGAGTCAAGCTAACCAACTGAAAACAACTTCTATGGCCAGTAACGAGATCCAACATAGAATATCTCTTAATGTTCTGCTGGACACCTTTAAAATCAAAAACCCATGATAAACCCATGGATGAATCGAAAGCACAGATCAGACACGGTTGCAGGTGAACCCTAACGTCAGATCCTACGAATCTGCTCAAACGGGAAATTTTAAAGGGATATAGATTAGATTAAAGCATGTTCCGTGCAGGATTGTGTTAAGGCACGCTGAGTGGCTATATCTTTACCAATCAGAGCTAGCGGATGCTTGGAGAAGACTGGAATCTTCTTATGTAAAAATTATAAACATCCTGACGTTTTTCTTATTATGATTCCTACTTCTATCCAACCTTGTTATTTGGAATATAATTACGTTCCTGTTCAAACATGTTCTGATTTGGGGACTTGTCGAGTGAAGTAGTGCTCAAGAATACTAAGCAATAAGAGTATCTGGGTCGTAATAGAAATCATAACATATAGTCAGTACAAAATTGTGTTGTTTAAGTTAATTACGTGATGAGCTGTAGTTGAAATTGATTTGAAAATAAATTGGAGATGTAAAATGAATAATAACTGACTCTACTTTCGTTTAATCAGTGTTTGTTTTTCGCGTGAATAGAAAAAACTACCTTGAAATGGAACGCAAAAAGCATATGCAATATAAATATACTATGAAATTTTAAAAGTAAGCTCGCAGTATTCCTTCAAAGATTACGTTAACAGGGAATTATTATGTTGGTCAGTTGATATTTTCCTCCCACAAATAGTATTTACTTCATTAGTGGGATAGATAAGGTTTTCTTTATCTAAAAATGTAAAACTATAAATACTTTCCACGACATTTATTTTATACTCATGGAAAATTTGAAAGAATAGTACCTTCATGAACAAGTTGTACATGGTACCATAACCCTGATCTGGAGGTGAAAGTTCGGTCACAAGACGAACATTTGAATATCTTTCCTGGAATGAAGTAATGTAACCAAGATAAACAATCTAATAAATAACAGCTAAATCATAAAATACGAGTGATACAAAAGATATGAAACGTAATTATATATATATATATATGTTCATATGCCAATTAAACAATCATCTTTATAGGAAGTTAGGTACTGCTGGTGGTCATTTGTACTTGAATTTTTTGAAAGATGCATTCATGAATTACTGAACTAAAAGCTTTAAGGTAATTAAATAAACAATAAGTAAATAATACTATCAAAGTAATAGCCTGGATGAGATGTTCGTAAGACTACACTAACTGACATGGTTGCAATATACCGTAGAATTAAGAGGCCTGTGAATGGAAAGTGAGGTCAACAAATGATAACGGTTTGTGATCTATGTTAGGAATTATGCGAAGTGTGAATCAGTCTAAACCGCTCCTTTGAAAGAATGTAGTAAGAGTAGAAATAAATCTCAATCTGTCGACTTCTTTCACGTTGTTTTGTTGGAAGGTAGGGAAACTTAAACTAGAGTAAGTATAAAAAGCTTTCAAATGGCCAAATTGGTCCTTTAACTAACAAACGAAGTATCCAACGTAACTGATCTATTAACAATGCATTTTCTCGCTCCTTATCGATAACTTTATTATTTACGACAAACCAGTTGATAAATTTATAGGAATATGTCATACGATTAGTATTCCAGAGATAAAATAATTTAGATATTACTCACTCACCGTAATCTTTGCCAAATTTGCGTTCACTCAAAACTGTGTGTTGTGGGAAAAAACTCTGAGATGAATTGCAAAGAAATTTTATATCTGTAAGAGAACATAAAAGTGTCGAAAGAGGTATGGTGGAAGGTATCAAAAAAATACAGTATATTTCGAAAACTAATCAGCCGATAATATTATGAAAAAAGACAAAAATATGCAGATCAGTTACACTTTTGCATCACTAAACTATAATACATCTTAAGAATAGTGGCGTATACCTATCACATTCGATTTACTTGTTGAAAACCTGATCGTTGCTACTATCTTGACGTGGTGATCAGGCTTGACTATCATGATGACCCAGCCGAGCTATATTAGCTGGAACATATGTTCACGTAGGTTCTACCATGCCAAGCAAGTCGATTGGAGAATGGTAAAACTATAAGTAGCAACTCAAGGCCTGAGGGCGAAGTCGTACTGCTGACTGTAGAGGGATGTCACAGCAGTAAGGTGTTTCCCTCGGACAACCAGCATCTGCAGCGATTCTGCCTCCTCACAAGGAAGGGAGGGATGGGAAAAGGTCGACCCTAAAAATGTCACACCTCACCTTAACTCACGGATTTCCGTCTCGGGCGGTAGGGTCCCAAAAAGTAGGGAGCTAACACGAAAACTACTCACAAAAAGGTCGTGTGTGATCAACCTCAAGCAGTTGTCCCTTGGGCACTGTGATCATGCTCTCAGGTAATTAATACCACCTTTAACTAAATTTCCTTTACAAGTACCTCCAAAAGAACACTTTCCACAGTGTAGGCAACCGGGAAGTGATAACTGCCCTCATACCTCTAACAACACTCAAGACCACTGTATTCATAATCAACCTCCCTCTTCAATTCCTATTGTCCTCTTACATCGACTTTTAACTCTAAACTTCCTCTTTTGGCTTCCTTCTCAAGTGTCACTATAGCCAACGATTCTAGTGCGCAATACACTGTCCCATGTCAAATCGGCCAGCAGACCTCCTTGGCTAAAACCCTAGAATCTCGTACTATTGATGTATGCTGTGGCTCCGAAACACGCATACAGGATCCTAGTGTGGTCATTTACCTGACCTCACCGCGCCAAAACAGAGGTCTGACGAGATACACCCTCCGTGTATCTGGCGACCCGATGGCTAGTTCTCCTGGACTGGTAGGTGTAGGCATAGCACTAAGTACAAGGGCAGAATAAGCACTATTATAATGGATCTCCGTTAACAGTCGTCTATGTGCTTTTCGGCTAGACGGCTCAGTAGGAACTCGGAAGGACAGGGGCACACGCTGTTGCCTTTTTGTCGTTTCTGCCTACGCTCCCACTGACTGCAGTCCGGATGAAGTGAAAAATGACTTTTACAGAAAGCTAAACGCTCAGACATAGTACTGGTAGCAGGTGACTTTATTGCTCAGGTAGGTAGCTTAAATCAGGCAGAGAGACATTTAGGTGGGTATTTTAGTATTCTGGCTCAGCAAACAGATAATGGTGATCGGCTGCTGCAACTCTGCTCAGACGATCTTTTACTTTTAGCAAGCACTAATTCTAAGCACAAGGAGAGACATCGTCTAGCATGGCGACCCCCTTCACCAAACCATCGATGGACTCAAATAGACCATAGTGCCATCAGTCATCGTTGGAGATGGTCGATAGAAGATTGTCGTTCATTCTGGACTCCGGTCATGCTAATACGAGCACGCATTTGCTTGTGCCTCACTGGACGCAAAAAAACCACATACAAAAGAACCATTAGATGTGAAGTCTGACGAGAAAGCTAAAAGTAGATTCCAGGAACAACTGAGATTACACTTAGGTAGTTCTGAAAACGAGGCTGACCTAGATGTTGCTTGGACACGTATACAAACAACTGTGGGACAGCAGCGACATCTATTAGTGATTTAAACCAAACGACTACGAAAAACCAATGGATATCTACTAAGTCTATTGCACTGCATAGTCTGAATGGAATATTGAAGTAGGTTCCCCGATTCTATCTGAAGCACAAAAGACTATAGTTAATCTGAAACGAGGAGGAGCAACTGGTCCAGATGGATTGGCTCCAGAGGTCTTTAAGGATGATGGTCCAGTTTCAGCAGTTAGGTCGGCTAATGTTTTGGCTAAAATCTGGGAGTTGGATGTAATCCCATCTAACTGGTTGCAATCACTGATTGTCCCAATACATAAGAAAGTGTCAAAATCATCATTTGATGACCATAGAGGAATTAGCTTGATTAATATAGCATCTAAATGACTAACCTCAATAATTATCAGACGCCTAACTAAGACTCGTGTAATGCAAACACGGTAAAATCAGGCTGGCTTCAAGACCTGGTCGTGGTTGCATTGACTACATATTCACCATCCGTCAGGTTCTAGAACACAGATATGCTTACCGGGGTACGAAATGGTGGTCTTTCTTGGCTTTTAAGTAGCATATGACTCTATTGACCAAGAGGTTCTGTGGCAGTGTCTGTCATTGAAAGGCGTACCTCGGAAGTACATCAACATTTTGAGGGCTCTTTACTCGAACACTGTTAGTCGAGTCAGAGCTCATGACGAAGTGTTATCTGATTAATGCTTCGATATGGGCACTCTGGCAGTATCACAGCCCTCACACAAACCGATTAAGATTTGTGTGGCGCATCTGTATCTGGTGCCTTTTGTACCAGTATATGTGTTCAAATAATAATAATAATAATAATAATAATAATAATAATAATAATAATAATAATAATAATAATAATAATAATAACAATAATAATAATAGTAATAATAATAATGTTAAACGATTATACAACCTCAAGTGGTGTCCGTCAAGGCTGTCCACTGTATCCATTTTTGTTCAACTTCATCATAGACCTACTAATGGAAATAACGCCCATGTGCACCATTGGTTTGGGATCCGGTTAAAGAGCCGGATATTCGCTTTTCGTCCTCTCATTTTCGTGAACAACACTTCCCTGGCAGAGGCTGTATACGCGTGACCGGGTGAGAGCATTTCGAGAGGGAGAGCGGACTCTCCCCACTCTCGGCCGTACCAGGGTATTCCAGGAGAACCACTAATCGACTTAGAATACACAGATGACAGTCCTGTTTAGTGAAGACGCTGATAAAATTCAGTCTTTTGGTAGCACTGAGCAACAATGCCAGAATGTTTGGGATGCGCTTCTCCCCCCCCCCCAAATGCAAGTTGTTGCTTCAGGACTGGTCTGCGTCAACACCTGAACTAAGGATAATAAGTGAAATAATCGAACGCGTTGACAACCTCACTTATCTTGGAAGTCTGATCAGCCCTAATGGGTTGGTGTCTGACGAAATCTCAGCACGGATTCGAAAAGCTCGTTTGGCCTTTGCCAACTTACGTCATCTATGGCGAAGGCGAGATATCCGTCTATCAATTAAGGGACGAGTATACTGCGCGGCAGTTCGTTCCGTTGTACTATAGGACTGTGAAACATGGCCTTTAAGAGTAGAAGATACTCGTAAATATTGCTCGCATCTGCTGAGATCACCGGGTAAGTAGTAGTGAGGTCAGACGCAGGGTACTAGGGAATGATGGTAAATCAGTTGATGAGGTTATGAACCTTCATCGACTGAGATGGTTGGGCCACGTGCTGCGTATGCCTGAACACCGATTACCACGACGCGCAATGCTTACTGGTGTTAGGGATAATTGGAAGAAAGTCATGGGCGGCCAAACCAAAACGTGGCATCAGTGCTTGAAGTCACTAACTTCTGGGCTGAGCCATGTTGGAAAATTCAGACTGCCTGGATAGGGAGTGAAGAAGACGAACGGGTCGACAACCTCGCTTAACATGGGAGTCTGATTAGCCTTTATGGGTTGGTGTCTGACGAAATCTCTGCGCGGATTCAGAAGGCATGTTTGGCTTTTACCAACTTACGTCACCTATGGCGAAGGCGAGATATCCGTCTACCAATAAAAGGACGAGTATACTGCGCGGCAGTTCGTCCTATTTTACTTTACGACGGAGGAACGTGGCCATTAAGAGTAGAAGTGTTATATCTTGTGACCCGCCGATTAGGGAGCAGCGAATTATCGATCGAACCAGTGACGGATAAAACACGCGCGAGCAGCCTAGAGTTATGATTGGTCCTGCTTCCGTGTCTAGCCCAGCCAGTTGAGTTCAGAAAACAAGTCTCAGCCTCGGAGATATGAATCATTATATTTCAAACACACTCGGTTTATATATCAACCAGACAGACCACAACGTACCAATAAAATATGAAACAACATGTGTACAAAAATTAGCCAGATGTGGCTGTGGATGAGGGAGATAGGAATCAATAGATAGGCCATAACTCAAGAATGGTAAATAGCATAATAATAGTTCATAGGTCAAAATAAAACTCATAATAAGAGGGACATGGATATGAACAGATCAGTTACGTAACAATTATACGATAAAAAATATACTCAAAATATGGGTCCATAAATGGATCCTAAAAATCACCATTCATTATTCTTATTGGGATATAACAAGAAGACACTTGTAAGCCACTAGTATTTGACCACAGATGCCTAAGAAATATTGCTCGCATCTGCTGGGATCACCACATAAGCAATAATGAGGTTAGACGCAGGGTATTAGGGAATGATAGTAAATCAGTCTATGAGGTTGTGAATCCTCACCAACTGAGATGGTTGGAGCACCATAACAGTATGCTTGAACGCCGTTTACCACGACGCGCAATGATGACTAGTGTTGGAGACGGTTGGAAGAAAGTTAGGGGCGGCCAAACCAAAACGTGGCATCAGTCCTTGAAGTCACTAACTTCTAGTCTGAGTCTTGTTGGTGGATACGGACTACCTGGTTGCGGTGTTCGTGACTATCGTAACCAATGGCTGGAGGCTGTGAGAGACATGGCTCAGAATCGATCACAATGGCGTAGGTGTATACACTCTCAAACTATGAGATTGAAATTGCGTTATATCCTTTCTAGCAACCAATTAACTACTTCTATGAATCCAGCGTTCATCTTCTTGTGCTAATGAGATGTGGCAACTTGGACCGATGCATATATGTACCTGGTCCTACGTTGTAGCTAACTGACTGACT